TACCATAAAAATAATCATAAAAACGACATATTTACTTCTTGTTTACATTCATAAATATCTTTTATTCGCCTCTCCCGCTCTTTCGCTTTTGGTTGCATCAACGATAGTGCCGCCATTGGCACTCAATGCATTCACTGTCTATGTGTGTGTTTCTGTGTTCTGAGCATTTTCAATGCCATTATCATTTCATTTGTTCGAAATCTCAACGGTCCGGTACGAGCTGAACCGTATAATACACAAACAACATATAAAATGGTTTTTTTTAAATGTCTGTCTCCCATTTACATTCAATCGCATTTGATTCTCTTTCTCTCTTTTTTCCTCTTTTTGAACACTGTGTACGTACTGCCGTTTGGTCGCCGTTTTTATCATTTTAATTTTATTACTATTTTAATCGCTAATAATGATTTAAAGAATACAAAAAATATACTATAAATACACCATTAATTTGGCATTTATGATCATTTTAACGATTTTGTCGCACGACACCCATCAATCGTATCGCGCGAGGTTTTTATGGCTTATTTCTTCATTTGTATGGCCGGACGATAATCACTACTGTCTTTTTTTTTTGTTGTTCTTGTTACTCTACTATTGCTATCTCTCTGACTGTTTGACTTCAAACTGCAATAAATTTTCAAACTAATTTGGTAATTTATATGTGTTTTTGTCGACGCGTCGGTTGGCGTTCAGTTGAATTCATTCATTGAAGTTTTTATGAATGAAACACACATTCGAATGCGAACTAGTAGCGCGCAAATAATCCATTCGAATATGGGATATGTGACATGAAATATGTATAAACAATAATTAGCATTCGGCAAAGTTAAAACGGAAGAGAATTTAATTCAATTTTCATGCGAACGTTTCTCTTGAATAAGCATTCCTTTGCTCGACGAACAATTTCAAACTGTGCACACGAAACAGTGGGAATTCTTGTGCAATGCGCATGCACAGAACTCAATGTTACAATTGAAAAATAAAGGATTTCGAGCCGTTTTCTCTGTTTATTGAATGGGATTTTATCTTGATTCGATCGTGTTCGATTGTTTCCGACGGACGAAAAAGAGAAGAAAAAAATAAATAAATAGTGTTTCTGCTCAAACAAAATGTTTCAAAGTCTACTTGAATATACTTTAAAAAACGAACGGAGCGAGAGAGAGAGAAAAAGAAGAAGATGAAAAAAATTCAAATCTAGTTAATACACAAAATATGGAAAGATTTGAATTGTCTGATAAGCGGGTTTTGAAAGCAGCCGAACCAAATAAACATTCTTGAATATTGTCGAGATGATGCGCGCGCGCGCGCGATGCTGCCGACAATGGATTTTAACTAAATCGAGACCCGTTTCATTTTTGTTTTATTTTGCATGTATATTTTTTATTCTGCGGTGGTTGTTGTTGAAGGCAGGCAATTTTCGCGTGAGCAAAATAATAAGTTTAACATGAAGATCAAACGAGTCATGGATGTTTTGCATTAGATTTTTATTTTGTTCGTTTTGCTTGAGAAATGAAAATCAACAATCAAATTTGCTAACTCATACTGACGCGCACTGAAATTATTTTTTAATGGGATGACTTTGTAGTACAATTGTGTTTTATTTTATTCTTTGTGCTGAAATATAAAATCAACGTCCAAAGATCTCGTTTCTGTAGATGTTTTCCACTCTCTTCATTGCCATTTTTTTTGCTTAAAATTTGAAATTCGCACGTAAAATGTGGCGGCAAATATGACGAAAGAATTCATGATTGCAATCTTTTTATCGCCGAAAATTGTTCATTGTTTGCGCTCTCATGTTTTTCTATACCATTCCATATGCTAATGTTCATCGTTTCGTCTTTCTCTTCTTTTTTTTGAAGATACACACACACATACGAAAAATATTAGAAATTCAAATCGGTTTCTTCATCTTGTTAGAGGCATCAGTGTCAAAAATCTCCTCAAATAAAACACAAATTTTTATAACGTTGGTTTTTTTTTCTTTTGAAAAAGTATGTTTTTCTCATTTACGTTAAATTTAGTTTGAGCAAAATTTCAAGTTTCAGGAATTTTTTTGTGGCCATGGTTTCTCTGATTTCACATAATTTATTGCCTAGGAACAAGCCACGAAAACTTTTTCATTGTTTTTTGTATGTTGCTGGCAAAATGAACTAGATTTTGGCGGGGGCACATCTATCGCCGCTGTTTCTATGTCATCATTCTCCTCGACAGCTCGAAACATTACGCGAACCATTTTTCAACAACACAAAACATGAACAAAATGATAAAAACAAGTTCATGAATCAATTTTAATACTTTTTTAAATCATTAAACATGGTCCGAATTCTAATTTTCCACAATGCATTATTGCTTGACGTGAACATTTCTGCTTTCATCAAAACATTTTTGTGCTGAATTTATTGGGATTTGTTTTTATCTTAAAATGATATGCACATTCATGGGAATTGTTTTTTTTTTTTTTACTTTTTTTTGTTTTCGTTGTGTGTTCTCTCTTAATTTATATTTCAAACGAACATGGGTTAGTTTTTTTCCTTGGAAATCATTTACATATTTTTATAGAGAGACTCTTCTTGTCTTCTTCAAGTTCACCAAAAATTTTGTGTGCTTGTGTGTGTGTTTCTTGCTGCTGACACAACTACTGTATCGAAAATCCAATTTTCAAGATGAATAATCCAAAATGAAACTGAATTTTTCAAGCATTTTATATGATGATGAATAATCGAGTAAATTTCAAGGCGACTCCATCGAGTCGTAAATTTACAAGCAATATTCCAATTGGATCTAACTCAAAATATTACTCGTTTTGAGCATCTGTCTTTCAACAATAATCCACTCAAAATGAATAAATGGATTGTAGATAAGAAATTCGATAGCAAGTTTCGCTTCAAATTCTTATTAAAAGAATGTTTCGAAGCATCAATGTGAAATCTACATATTTTTTTAATAAAAGTTTTTCCAACTTTTGTGATAAAAACAACAATTTTTTTTCTTCTATAAAATATATAACTCACCAAAATTGTTGTGTCGATGACAAACAATAAGAAAAATTCAAATATTCTGTTTGTTCATATTAAATTATACACTTTTACGGATCGAAAAAGAAAATTGTTGTGTTCTCACACTTTCTCAGTTGTGCGCGAGAGCAGAAAAGAAACCCAACAAAACAATTGAATGAGACAGAGAGTCAGTCGTATCTTTTGCATTTCATCGGTGTTTTTTTCATTCAAAAGAGTGCATTTTTTTCGCGAGCAATTCTTCGGTGTATCAGAATGCGGCGAAAAAAATTCGTATGACAAAACAGGAAAACAGACACAATGCTAAAAATGTGCAAGCGCAAAGCGATAAATAGAATAAATGCACGTGTACATTGCCTTATTATAAATCGCATGCGCTTACTTTGATGCCATAGTCAATTGTCAAAATGTATGCGATACAAAGCGAAGCGCGCTACCGGCACTCAAGCAAAAAAACCGCCAATATTTTCATAAGTGATTGTGTCAATGGTGTTAAAAAGCGAATCGAAGATCTTACCGCTGATAATTTCTAATTGTCACTTCGTTTATGTTATATATTTTTTCTGCTCGTTTCGAGGGACAGACGGAACAATCTGCTCTGGTTGAATTTTTAATATAATAAATTGTTTGCATCCGATTTACAAAAAGCTGTATCACTGGAAGGCACAAATCAAAGAACCATAAGAAATGAATTCACATACAAATTGTTCGAATTTAAATTGTTAATTCTCTTCGGTTGACTGGTTTTTAAGTCAAACACCGTCTCATTTGTGCAATGAATTATTCCATTTTAAAAATCATTGGAAGTCTCATTTAGAAGATATATAAAAATAAAATTGTAATAAAAAAGTTACCACGTGAAATACACACAGTGTGAAAGACAAAAAAAGAAGAAACAAAGTAAAAAGCTAATTGCCTGTAGGTCTAATTATCGCGCCGGCTAACCATTACACTGGTATTGTTATTGAGAAGTCTTTTTTCCCGACTCTCTCTCTTGTTCTTCCAATCTAAATTTAATAAGCATTTCAATTCTTGTGCAATTTATCCATTTCGTTTTAATGTGGATTTTCCCGCGTGATGGCAAAGCATGTTTAAACATGCGTTCAAGAATGTTTTAACGCGAGCGCAAATAACACTGCGAAATGATCGTGAATTAGAAACCGCAGCCGCTGCGAAAGAAAAACACTAGATATGAGCAGAGAGAAAGATGAATTAAATGTGCAGCGCTGTATTGTTGCAACAATGAAAAACTGAACATCCAAACAGATGTGAAATCATATTGTATTGGCATAACAGCGGTCTGAATGTGCCGATATCGAAACAATTGAACGATTTAGCGAACGAGAGAAGAACAATTATACCATGTTTTTTAATTAGTGTTATGAACGCATTCTTATGCCTATTATTTTCTCATTTTTTTTAAATGAATATTTTATGTATAGTTATATACGGTTATAAATGCGCTGCAGAACACAATTGTTCGTTCTAGATGTTTTTTTCGTGTTTACAAGTAATCAAATTAATGTTGGTTGTACCATTATTTTGATAAGAATACTTTGAAGATCATCTCATTTATGAAAGATATCGTTTAAATTGCAAAGAATCGTTTCAACTTTAATTGGGCGTGCATTTGTTTACACTTTTAAGGAACAATTCCAGGTATTTGCCGTAATTAACGCAATAACGCAGAATTATGAATTAAAATTGTAATCAAATAAGCGAAAAGGCCCGAAAGGGACGTTTAGTTTATTATTTAATACGAAATGAAATTTACATGTTAAATAACAACGATATACAAACACGAACAATTGCATTAAACTCAAAGCGCTTACTCACCATAGGTCGTATGCGGAACGCACGTATCTCAATCAGACGAAATGTTTAGTTTCACTATTTATGTACAGATGGAACTGTACCGCTAATTAATATGCATATTTGAAATGTATAACATTCTAATGATGTTTTTTTTCTCTTTTTCATTTTCAGATAAATTAAAACATATAAAAATCAAATAATCTCAATCCAAAGGATACACTTAAAAAGGTAATAAAATATGAACATTTTGTGGAATAAAATTCATTTTTAATTTGAAACCGAAAAAAATCTTTGAAATCAATCTGAAGAACAAGAAAGAATAAATTCCACAAAAGAAGTAATTTCGTCGAAAAAAATAACGTTTTTCATGCCAAAGACAAGCCTTAATTATTTTTTTTTTTGCAAATTTTATTGTGATATCAATTTGGTAGTGACGGTCCTTTAAAGATGTTTTGTCTCGATTGTATTTAAATATTTCGCTGATATAATACCTGAATAAGGTAGCATTTCTACTCTAAAAATACTTATAAAAAATCGTCAATTATTCAAGCCTGAAACAAAGAAACTACTTTATATAGTGGAAAAAAAACGATTCAGGATCTGAATATCTATTGTTTCAAAGATTTCCTAATGCTGATATGAACGAATCTGTCATTGTTGGTGGTTTGTTGCATCGCCAAATGAACCAAGTGGCTACGGTAATAGACTACGAAATAAACTTATAAATTTAACTTAATTCAAATGAGATAACAACGACATTGCAAACTTAAAATAAGATAAGTGAGATGAACGAAATAAAATGATTTCATTAAACAGTCGCGTTATTGCGTGCAGAGTGCATATATGTGGTTATTGCGCAAGACCTTTTATGTCGGATAGCCGTTTTTTTTCGTCTGTTCACTATTACAGATAACCTATTGCTTACTTCTCTTTCTCTCTCTTCTGCACAAAATATCTACATGAGATATTGTCTATTATTAAGAATGGTGCAAAGAAAAGGTCTTCATCATCGGCATTTTATCAGCCGTATGTCTGGAATATAATCGAATTTCCACTTCGAAACGAAAACAGAGAGAGAACCATCAAAATATCGTTACAAACGCCGCGTGTTTTAACACATGCAACTCTCCATTGGCATGGCTCTAACATTTGCATGTACTTGGTGTACACACAATTCAGACTTCATTTGATGTTCAAAAACGAAGAATTGTCTGTGCGCACACGAAAAAAAAAACCGGTCGCATTGCGCTCGATGATCCTGAAAAATAAAAAAAAAGAGATAGAATATATTCTATATAGAGACAGCGAATGGAAGAGAAAAAAAAACGAAAAACATGAACGCAATAACTAATGAAGTGGTTATTCTGTACGCCGGCATCCTTGTTAAATATTTGCATATTATCATTGCAAATTAGCGTTTTTATTTTGTTCAAATCGCTCGTTCACTCTTAATTCAGCGCGATGCCAAACGACGAACCCCACAATCCACATGATTATACTCGTGCATTTTTCTTCTCGTCGCTAAATACTTACGTATTCTTCTTTTTTATTGATTCTATTTTTTTTCATGCATGCTACTTTTCCTCTTTTTTTTACTCTGCTCTCTCGCAATCACAACGAATTGATTTCACTCGCAATGCATGGACATTTCTTTCTACGCGGTCGACACAAAAATGTGATTATACGACTCAGAATTTACATTTTGTTTTTTTTTCGCATCGCATTTTCATTTAATTTGCTTCAGTCAATCGAAACTTGTATGGTTGGGCAGGTATTCTGCTGGCTTGCTGTTCTACCGATTATTATACAATCCAAATCACTGTTGTTCATTTTATGCACGAGCTAATACACAGAGAGAATTGATTATTTTCATGACCGATTTGTGTGCACCGTGTACGATTATTTGTTGTTGTTGCTGCTGCTTCTGTTCCTTTTTTTTATATAAAGCGTTGAATGACTGTGCAAACGCTTACGCTGCCAACAGCTCTTCGCAGCCAATAGTTATTTATGTGTGATCCTGATTAGTAATGCATCTTGACTTAATAGCCAAGAATATTTTAATTATTTTGTTTGCAGAATTTAAAATGTTGCACACATTCGAAGAAATGGATGAAAAAAAGATGTTTTCATTGAAATTTTTGATAAACAAATTTCGCTTCAGGTATTTCTTGGCCCAATATTCTTGAATTACTGAAAGAAACAAAAAAAAATATGAAAAATGCTGCAAAAAATTCCAAAAAGCAAAGAAGAAACAGAAATAGACAAATAGTCGTATTAAATACAAACGAAATCGCAGTAATTTCCAAGCCATTCAAATCGAATTCAATAATCTTGAACAATTTGCCAATACATGAGCGCATATATCACCGGTGCTAATCACAAATTGAAAAACTTAAGCCAAATCTGAAAACTTTTTTTTAGCTTGTGAACATAAGCTCGATAGCATCTAGCATGATGTCGATGACTCAATCCATTAGATCTTCATGTTGATATGCTGAACTATTCGTATTCAATAAACGACGAATTCCGCGCTTGTTCTGAAACTAGTAAAAGAAGTATAATAAAAATGTTTGTACTCTTAGATCCGATGGGCTTTGCATATTTGTTTGTTTTCAAAATCGAAAATAGACTAAATGCGTCGATGGCAGAAAAACAAATGCGACCTATACAAATCGAGGTGAAGAGTGGCGTACGGCGGGAAACAAAAGAAAATCATTTGAAATATCCAAATAGCAATCTAACTCCATATACGTGTGGAACAAGGCACAGTTCATCCGATATCCGAATGGCAAGTGTACTTACATATACGTGAAAGCGACACGATAATATTGTCTCTGGCTGTGTGTTGTCATTCTTGTTTTAGTTTTCGCAGTAATTTTACTGTTCGCTGTTGTTTTTTTTTCCTTTTTCCGTCGTATTTGTATGTTTTGTGTTCTGAGTTGATAAACGCAGCGCATTTTTTTGTGTGATTTCATTTTGTCTTCTTTCTTTATAGTTTTCGTGTTCTTCACGCTTGGCTCCGACAATATTTGGTTGATACTTTTTTCATGTAGTTTTTCTGTTGATGGCTACGTGGTTCTTTTTTTGTGTCATTGTCGTCGTCGTTTTTGTTTGGAGTCTTTTTTTTCGTCGTTTTACTTCGAATATGTCTTACAAATAAAGAGATCACTTAATAAAGTAAATAGTGCTACAATGCTATGGGGAGCGCTTTGCGAATCGCCTCATTCAAATGTTCATTGTTCTGGTTAAACGATTGTCTCGACAACACTCATGAACGAGCTGAAAAAAAACATAAGCACATAACAATGTGCACGCTGAAAAAATTAGCTGATATTTGTGTACGGAAGACACAAAGTTGCGTTTAATTGTTACACAAAAAATGCAGTCGACTAAGCGAACAAGAGAAACTTTTTTATTTTAAAAAAGCCAAGCGAATGTTGAAATGCGAAACAAATGAATTTGAATTTTATGAACAAATTTCAAAGTACTTCAAAGTTTGGAATTTTTTTGACGGTAGAAACTCGCTTTGAAATAATGGCAACGCAGGCAATGTTTTTTTAAAACAGGAAGCAATCGAGTTTTTTCTGCTTAAAAATCGAAAACAAATAACATTGAATTAAAATGAAATGACACGTTTTCCAACAAAAATTGAAAACAAAACTCTAGATGTCACGGAAATCAAAAATTCTGCTGCGATTCTGTTCTTGGAACTTAAAATTTGACTTGAATTTCGGGGGCAGACGAGTTCAAGCTAAATCACAAAACAATGTTTGTTATTAAAAGGCGAGCGGAAATCCTTACCAAACCAGAAATCCTTACCAATCAGAATAGAAAGTTCTAAATTAATAAAATGGCATTATGTCTTACTCTCTGTCTCTTCGTCTCATCGGTGGGTAAAAGATTAAGTAAACTATTTCTCGATTGTATATATATGGCATTTGAAGTGCGTGCATGCCAAAATCTTAAATATTCTCTCCACCGAAGATATTTCAGCCCTTATATTTTCAATGCTGCTTAGCTCGTACTCGACGAGCACAAACATCGTAAATTAAATCACACAATTCAAATGGTAATTTATTATTATGTCTGTGTGCACCAGCTCAACAACCAGACGATATACGGGCAAATTTTGCAGTAAACAATGGATGTGCGCACTCTTCTGTCTGCTCAATCTCTCTCTCTCTCTATCTCTCATCATGACATATACGGCGCGCATCATCCAAATCATTTTGCATGTGTATAAATCTATCTATACAGATTTATGCTGTGCGTATATATTGTGTATCGTCAAAAGTCAAGTGAAAAGGGCGCAATTTTAAATTCAATATTTGTTAGAGCTTACCAAACCCTTGAATATATGTGTGTGTGCGCGTTTGAGACGATGACGACGACAACGAACTTCGTGACTTTACACACAATTTTGGCAATTGGTAAAAGCCGATAAACAGCACGCGATTTAGACACAAGATGATAGCCGGGAAAAAAATAAAATATTGCCATGTATTCAAATTTGCAACACCAAACGGCCTATTACATTAAATGCGTAATCTGAAAAGCAAATATGCGTATGAGCACACATCTCCCAAAAAGAAACGGTTTCCAAACAAACAATCTTCCAATTTTCAATGGTTTGAGATAATCCATTTCATTTATCACATTTGCCGCTTATACGTTGAAAGGCGATTGAGAACATAAATACCGCTCCTAGCAAAAAAAACCGTATTACATTTTTAAGACATTGCATAAATTAAAGTGAAACATATGAACACATAAAAAACACCATTGCATTCGATTTCTTCGAAAAAGTTGTAGAGAGCAAAAAAAAAGTATGAATAAATGCAAGCGACACATTTCTGTCGCCGTGGTCGTTGGAAGTGTGCGCCAACTAACAGCTGTTTGCAATCTCACACACACACGTCGACAACGATGTGCACATAAACGGTTCGCTTCTATAGACTCTAGAAAAAAAACGTAAACAATTATAAGAAAGTGAGTGAGAACCGTCCACTTATGCAAGGCGAGAGAGAGCGAGAATGTCAATGAAGAGTAACACCATATTTGGGAAAAGTTTCAAGGTCCGACAATAAACGTTGGTTGTTGTTGTGCGGAATTGCACAAAACATTGCTCCGAAAATTACAACACTCAATTTCCCATAATAAATTAGGCAGCGAGAAAACAAACCAACAGCAACAACAGGCACGTCCAACAAAGAAATGAGAAAATTGACGATGAAGGGAGAGTGAAAGCAAAACGAAATAAGTAATATTGGTTCATTGGACGCATTGCGTTCATTAGTTAAGTTTATTTGTTTTTTTCTTCTCCTTTGCAAAAAGACCGAAATGTTTTTTTTTGCTGCAAACGGAACGTATGCGATTCGGCTACGTTTTGTCTAACGGTAAAGTGGGATAAGATGTATATATGCGAACAAAAATAACAGTGTAAAATGAATAATGGCCGCTCCGATTCGACAAAGATTGTGGTTGTGCGCGTATGAATGTGTATGTATTTAATTCTCCTCTCATATCCATGCTCCGTCTCTGTTTAGCGCTAGTCGTAAATTACAAGCGTATATCAATGTGTGCGTGTATGTATGAGTTATTATGTATTTCATTATATCCTTATTCTGTTGACGTATCGTGTGCTAGTTAGTGTTGAACGGTTTGTTTATGTGTATGCGTTGAATATGGCATTCATTCGATGAAGGATATGTTCACTCACCAATACACTCATTCAACGGTGTCGAATAAGAGATTTATTTATTTATGACACATATAAAGAGAGCACATGTGCACGTTGCCCACAAATTGAAGTTCATTTCCATTTATATGGACGTATTTATGCGATGATGAACATTGATGAGAGAATGAGAGAAAGATTGACCAAATAAATGTGATTGAAGAAATTAAGAGTACATCAAACATTTATTACACCATTTTAATGGGTTTTATCTATTGTATTCAATAGAGATTATATTTACGTGCAATTTCATTGGATGGCGGCGCGTAAAATCGGGTTATCAGTTCACACATGAATGACATATAAGTAGCGAAATATCGAAGATTTATTAAGTGCAAGTGGATTGGAGATTGTTTACCATCGATTCCATTGATGATTGATGGCCACCAATTGAATTTCCATTCCAATGGATATCGAAAAAGGCACAATCGGTGATAACAGCATTTTGTTTATTTACTCATTTGTGAATGGACACCGTCTATTGGCTCTTTGGAAAAAGATTATTTTTACTATTTGGTTCTTTTGATAAAACTCGTCGCCAATTTACAGAAACTCATTGCAATGACTTCAACATATCGGCAGTAAATTGTCCGAAATATATTTGGTTAATGGCCCCCTTATTACTGAGAATAATCGCACACATGATAGTTACCATGCGCAAAGAAAAATGTAAATAATGAATGACCACATCAATTTCCTTCTTGATGTGATGCGGCTCGTGAACGATGTTGTTTTTTTTCTTGTCTCATCATTTCTTAAGTTTTTTTTTTCTTGCTCTTGTTTTCGTTTATTTTTTTCATTTAAATGCACATTTCACAATGTATCGCAATACCACCTGCTCTGTGTCAACAAAGCACTAAATTTTATTGCAAGTGGCGCGCAAGTTCTGAGTTTCTCAGCACGCATTCATTGAATTGCACATTCCAGCTCATACGCTTGCCACATTCATCAAACCCAAACCGGCATCCCAGACTAAATGAATTGAATTTTCGCATTTTGTGGCACAAAAGAACAAACCACACAATAATGATGTTGTCTCTTCTTTCGCATCATTTTACGATGTGTGATTTTATAGCCAATTATATACGTATCAACAATATATGTATCAACTCAAAATGTGTATGAACGATTTATAAGTCCACTGAGAGTGCTGTGTTTTTTTTTTAAATTCATCGTCGGTTACGAGTTTGATTTTATCATTTGCAATTGTTTATGTCATTTGGATTGAATTCAAATTTTCAACGGGTTTCCAATTAGTCGATGTGTTTTTGTTTTTTTTCGAATGCGTGTTCCATACGTGACACGAATACAAGAGCAATGATGACATATTTCAATAGTGATGGGACGAAATTAAAAAAAAAACAACGAATCTGTTGAGATTTGAATCGAAGATTCTGTTAATCGCTTGTTTACATTTTTTCGCTCTCCGTTGAGCATACGATTAAACTGAAAACAAGATCGAGACGTATTGGAAACGACACGGCAATGGGCAATAAATTATATTAGAATGTTGATGGTGTCATTAACTAGGATTTTTGCCTGATTAAAATCTTGCATCATATGAAATTGTGTACGATGTGTTTTGGTGTGTGAGTGAATGTGTACGCATCACGTTCATCTATTTTTAATGCGTATGTTGTTCGGCACGCAGCAGCGCATTTTTAATTTTTCATATCTTTCTTTTTGAACGGGCATCAAAATGTAATCGCATCAGTTCATCCATTTGATGAAATGCACGACAAGTGCATACGTCTGAATGTTCAACAAGACATGCGGATTAGTTTAAACAAGCCAAAATATTGTTTGACGCCGTGTACGGATTTTCAGCGCATCACCGAGAAGAAAAATTGATAAAAATTCTCAACGCCCACTTGCTGTGAGCAGCAGCAAAAGTCTCTAAGGTAATTGTGTTTGCGTGCGAAACGGATGAATAAACAAAGCATTTTCGATACACATGTCGCTTGATGAAATAAAAAATCATGAACATTCTCTCATGAAAAATTAATCAAGCGATTGCTCACAATGGGATTATCAATGGCATTTCGATGAATATTTTTCAAGAGAATAATGTGCTACTTGTGAACTAAATTTATTAATTTACTACATGAGCTCATCGAATTCAATTTGTTGTTGTTGATGAAAATGTGCTGTTTCCATTTTCTTAATTCGTCGCCGTTTCAAACTACAAATATAACATTTATCATCATGGTATTTCTCAAAAAAATGTTTTCTGCATGAATATTTACATAAATTTAAATCGTCAATGGGCTGTATCTCCATTTTCAATTATTTCGCACAACAATAAATCAAATTCGTGTTACACTTGATTACCCAATAACAATGGCTTCCAATATAAATGCCAAACAAAAAGAAAATTTTCTTTTCCTTCCGCATGATGAGTGTCTTATGTCCAGTGCTATGAATTGCCTGCCGAAACCGATTCCAAACTTCCTAGTTGAAAATATGAAGGCGCACAAGTGAAAAGAAAAGAAAAAAAAAATCAATAAAAATATGTCAAAAGCGCAAATCATAGGGTTTAACTCAGCTCACTCGTTTTTGCAATATATGCGTTGTCCTTTCCACTTTTCGCTTTGCAATCACTTTGCGACTCTCTTCTCAGTGCAAATGGGCGCCGGGAACATGAAACAAAAGAGAGAGAGAGAAATAAAACTTATATAAATAAAATGGCAAAACAAGAAAATCTTATTACGAAATTGAATTCGATGTCAATTTAGAAGATTAGATTCAGTGAATAAAATTGTATACAAACTACTTCCTGTGTTGTTATTTCGAAATTATGCCAACAGTACGCATGTTGCTTCGTACAAGAAAAGAAAAAATAAAGTTCAAATTGAGCGAGCAACATATACTCTGGAAAAACTGTCCAAATTCGTTTATTTTGATTATAATATAAATAAAGAAGGCGAAAAAAAATAGAGCAGGGAAATGAAGGCGATCGATTCGGTTTGGAAATTTTTGACGAAGGAAAAATTCATCATGGCCCATAACAACGGGAGAAAAAAAAACATGCTAAAAATCGTATCCATAATGCTAATAGTTGAATCACGCAAAATCAGAGAACATTATATGGCCCAAACAATATAGAAAAACAAACATGATGAATACGGTTCGGTCGAATGGATTATGCCGTATAAATGTATGGATAAACAGAGCAAGAGAAAGTGTATATTTGCGGCCTGTCGCTCACAGCCAATAAGAATCCATTAATCAATATTGCTTTTTGCTGTTATTTGAAGTGAATGTTGTGCATGTTTCGATCCCCAAAAAGTCTATTTTCCATTTTCCTCCATTGCAATGTCCATCAACTCTCCGAATTTCGTACGTTGCCGCACCACATGAGGATATCTGTCAGGCATGGTAAAAAAGGGGATCAGAAAATGAAACATTAACTGCATAACAAAGTGGATAGAACTAGAGCCATTGAATCGATATTAATATGTAATAAGTCATACACATTTTTTTTCTCATCCACCAAACAATTCGTTTGCCAATCGAAAGATTATTTTCGATTATTTGAAGCAAAAAAAATGAAATTCCAAGCTGAAACAATAAGCGTAAAAACTCTTTTGCAACAATGTGGTATTCGTTTCAATGTGATGGAGGAAATGAGAACAAAAATGTTCTTGAAAATTCATTTCAATTGCGTATAAAGCAAAAAGTTCGACAAAATCCGGTTGAGTGGCTAATATTGAACGGGCAGCCAAGTAATATTTTGAAATTTAGTCATTAGACATATACCGGTTTGCGATGCTGATAAACAAATTGAAGTGTCTGTTTTTCATATTCGCTCACACGAGCGTGTAAAACGTAAAAGAACTTGAATTGTGAATAATATGCAGCTGCAAGTCGAGTCGTTTAATACCAATTTTTAATTAGATTTACGATCGCAGTCTTACTCTAAGTGCAATATGATACCGCTTGAAAAATGCTTCAATACTACAGTTGGAGTCCCAGGTAAATGCTTACCTACTATTTGATTCGGTTTGTTTTTTTGCCCGATTCAACCACTGACGTCTCGTACGCTGTTTATTTGTCATACTCATTTGCACTCGCCATGTATTCGAAACACGTACTGAATCTGGAATTTAAGAAACAATATAAATGAAATATAAAATTTAAATAATAAATCAAAAATTGAAAAGAAATAAAAGTTAGCCTTCAGATTTTGAACTGAGCTTGAAGCCAAACGCTAATGTATACGCACACAAGTACACTCTCCATTCGCTGCGAATTTATTGACCGCTATCTCAATGCTTGTCTTGACACATACTGGTTGTGCTGTATGCTGAAAGAAAATAATTAAAAACATGATTTTTATTGCTGTATAATTGAAGATTTCCCACTTAATGTAGCATATATCACATTGAAAAAAAAAAGGTTAAAGAGCACATTTAACGGTTTACATCCAACAAAATAATGAACAAACACTTGAAATGGAAAAGTACTACTGCATTGCAAGAAAAGTTTTTATCGTTAGATAAAATAATTTCGAAACATGAGAGAGAGAGAGAGAAGAGAAAAATGTTCGTCGCTTTTTTAACGATAAAATCGACAACGATTGCAACTAATAAATGAGTTTCATGGTTCAGCCAGCACATCACAGTCTGAAGGGATATATATAATGTTGTTATTGTTTTCCGAGGGAAGAACGCGAAGAAGTTTTCAAATGTATCGGTTGTTGAGTTTTACATTCATTAGTTTGTACATTGTACATACGAACCGCGCTCGAATAGGCTGCCATCCACTGTCAGCCGATGGAAAACTTTTTCGCCACATGTACTTTTCACATGATAAAAGCAATCGTTAGTCAGGTCGACATACAACATGAGAAAATTGTTTATGCCGACTTACAATATGAGAACGATTGTTCTATGGGTAGAAGAAATTTGCTGCGAACATCAAATTCTATTTCACGCAAATAACAAAATCAAACAGTAAACTGTTTACGGTATGCAACGCTTGAGATTTTAATTCGATTGCATATGTGTATCTTCAACTTGGGGCAAACATTTTCCATATATACTCACACTCTATATGTGTGCGTGTGTGTGTGTCGACCCTTCTATTGTTTTGTTTACAAAATCGAATTCCGAAAAGTGTGTGCAATTTAAGAATGTAATTGTGTGTACACCGTATCATTTTATCGGTGGTGTATTTGTGTAACGAATTCATTCGCTCGCTGCATGGATGGACGATGAATCAAATGAAAATGATACTGTGAAAAACAATCTACCAATTTCAATGAATGTATTTTTCAATGCACATATTCATTTCGAACACTCTCTCACACTCTTACTCGTTCTTTTTATCGGTTGCAATTGTTCGAGCCGAAAGAAAGATTACTGTTTACAACGGTACGTTTCGGTGTTATGTGTTTGAAGAATCTATGTGGAAAATTGTAATCATTTATGCGCAGCATCTCACTTCATTCTTCATTTTTCCTTCAATTTTGTGGCGCGCACGCAGTAAATTTTCTCTCTCTATCTCTTTTGATACATAAAATTCTCATACAAACACATAAACCATTCAGCGGCAACAACAAGCCACAGCAATGGCATTTGAGTTGCAAAATATATGTGTGTATTTGTATATATAGAAAACGGTGTGTGCACATCTGTGGTACATAGTTGGAGCCGTGTAAACGGAGGCCAACGATAACTGACGAGCCGAAATAAGCGACGGTTTCATGCTTTATCAGCAAGTGTTTGTGCATTAGTATCAATCTGAAATGATCCATTGAACGGTCGTTTCGTGTAAAACTGTGTGAAAGAATAATAATCCAAAAGAACATTTACCGACTTTATAAAACTCAATTTCTTTTTAGTCTATCAAAACATTACGGCACATAAAATAGAACACTTTTCAGTGTGTGGTTCCCAAAAATTTCAATTAGATTTATGTATTCGCTGCATTTTGTTCGATCCAAAAAACGACGTCGCAAAATGAAACAATTTGTTAACAATTTAACGATGAAGTGTACACGTGATCTAAGGAAATAAAAATAGACACAAATTAGACCATTACTAAATGCTTTGAAAAGTAATTTTAAAATAAATAATCGCAAGTGGAAGCTATAAACAATAATTATTCTATTGAATCGCTTTTTAATCATTTCGTTTCGCATACAATTTAATGAAAATGCTTATTATTTGACCGAAGTGATTTCGTGTAATTTTATTCAAACCTCGTTCATTGACTTTACTTTTCTGCTTCTGGCAATCGGATTTTTTCTGCTACTTTTTTTTTCGTTGAAAAGCAATAACCTTTGATGTCATTTAAATCACGATTGCATTTTTTTCGTCAAAACGAAGCATTAATTTTAAAATAAACACATTTTGTAAATAAAAGAAAATCACTTTTCGTTCGAAATTTGTCCCCATCGAAAGTGTAAATAAATCGATATTTTTCCTCAAAATTTCATTGCTCTAAAAAAATATAAAAAAATTCGCATTAATATTTTTGATACTAAAAATTGATAATAATCATAAAAATAATCGAGTTTTAAGGTGTATCATTCTCGAGGTTTCATAAACAAATTAACTAAACTAAATAAGCGGCAACTAAAAGACACTTAAAAGACGGTAAAATATATTTCAATGAATTAAGAGAAGATTTTGAAAAGTTGAGTTTTGCGTGTGAAAGACATTTCTAAATCATGCGAACGCATAAAAATCGATACGAAATGCGAATTTTGTGCTAGAGCATCAGGGCTACAGAGAAAGAGAGAAAGAGACAAGCAATGGAAGCGATGATTCACAAGCATTTGAAATAATAGAGCCGAAAACAAACACGCAGAATGTCAGAGAAGATTATTCTACCCTCGTTCTCGTGCAGCAATTGAATCCGAAAAAGCGGCAAAAATACCAAAATTCCCTATATTATATATATATACTCGCAAAGAAAGAGAGAAACGGGTCGGGGTGCTCGAGTACATAATCAAACTGACAGAGCCGAAAAACACACGGCATTGTTGTGCTCCAACGTTCTCTATGCAGTGAATCTCAAATCGAAAAAAAAAACTACGCAAAATACACACGAAAAGCATCTGAAAGGAAACTGAAAGGAAATCAATAAAATTATAAATATTTTCGCTGTTCTTTCTATGTTTGTGTCTCTTTTTGCTCGACTTCAGTTCGAGTGTTTGTTATGCGTTAGTCGTTACTCATGTATCATCTAATCATCGTCAATGTAAAAGTCGAACACACTTTAACCACGATGAATCTAACAGAATCGCAACGAAATCTGACATTTTGTACCATCACATTGCTTTGATAACGCAAAAATCAATAACAACAACAACCGCAAATAACATTGGAACGCTAAGCAAGAATAATGCAAAAGCAATTGAAAACGATGATGAAAAGAGCAAAATTATAACATAGAAAAAAACGAACGGACATGAAGTTTGAAGCAGTTTTCGCTTTCGTGTAAATTGTCTCTTGTTAAAAAAAAACAGATTATCAAAAGCATTGAAAACGAAACGAACACTAACATTTAGAGCGACTGATATGCGATAGCATTTTTTTAGCAAAAATAAACGAAGAAAAAGAAAACAAATAAACCATTGCATACCATTTCAAATCGACAAAAAAAAAGAACGATAAAACCGAACATTAAACGACATTCCAAAATGGCATTGACTTGTGAATTTTCTTTGCGGACATTTTATAAATTATTGTAACCGAGAAAGAGAAATGTAATATTTTCGATGATTTATGTGCTTGATAAATGCTACACTTTTGTTCAACGTGTTAAAAGACAAATATCAAGGAAGAAAGCCACAGTACTCGTTTACACTTGGCTAGCCGTTGGCATCAAACGAGAACGACTTTTGTGTTATTATTGTTGTTGTTGCCGAATAATCGAACGAAACTTTTGCGCTTGACACATCAAACGACAGAAAAAAACAACCACGAACATACACATAAAAAAAGCGGAACCAAACAAACTATTAATATTTCAATAAATTTTATTGAGTCGGTCAAACAGTGAGTTGAAAAAGTTTTGAGCGTTAGTCTTTCATTTCAATTGCACTTAATTTTTGTGTGTTTTTTTCGGTGGCGTTAACACGATTTGAAGATAAAAACGACGTTGCTTAATTCAAAACAAAACCAAAAAAAAGTGTCCTTCATGCAATCGATTGCACAATTTAAACAGGTGAGAATGTTTTTACTTCTCTTTTTTTCCTTTATATGTGAAACAAAAATGTATGATTGTATCGAGTGACGTTACATTCGAATTGAGTTGTATGTGCGAATGCCGTCGGTAAATCGATGATGAATCCCAATATAAGATGAATGGTTTTTCTGATCGTATTCCATCGATCCCGTTCAACAAGCGAATATGTATAATTTCGATAACTTCATAAGATGAAATATAATGGAGAAAATGAGGCGAAAAGGCCAACACAGAAATAAATTTATAATATTGACAGTGAAGCCAAACTGACTAGATAAGAAAATCCCACAGTCGTATACTCAGAAAAGTCCGTCGAAAAAAAGGATCAACTAAAAATATGAACTTGTAATAAAGTAATAAATAATCATAAATTCGTTCCGATTTACATGTTTTTTTTTTATTTGTCCGCCTTCTTTTTTTTCCAACTCTCGATCCAATTGTGTTGTTCGCCAAACGTGCCCAATGCTAAACATAAACACTTACAAAACAATAAGAACTAAACTAAAAACGGAACACAACCGCAACTGCTAACAACAAACACACACACACACACATGTATATGCGCGTCAGGCAACGACGACGATGATGACGATAGCGAATTGAACAATGTGCTTTGGCACATACGAAAATTACACCACACGATTATTTAAATTGCAATAAAATTATTATTTACAATTTTATTATTATTGCTTTGAATGTGCACGGTGTATTTGGTATTTGGGAATGAAGAACAAAAAAAAATATACACAGAATATATAAGCCGGCGAGAGATGATCGGCGAAGAAACGCGTGTGTTTTTCTAACCATGTGTCGGAGAAACGACTGAACGGAGTAAAGAACCAAAGCGAATGAATAAAGAATTTCTTGTTTATTGTGGCCAAAGAGAAAGAGAGCAACAACGAAGCAACCAGTATGGCATGAAAACGCATACTATCAACAAAAAGGAGACAACGACAAGCATGAAGAAGAATGTAGAGGAAGAGAGAGAGAGAAAGCGAGAAAAAAATACGCGATCAAAAAGGCTTTGGTGTTTTGTGAGAGCCACAGACTGTGACAGCACACAAAATACAACGAAACAACATTTCAACAGTATTCTTTTTAGTAATGCATTGCATCGACTTTGTGTGTTACGTACATCCAACTCAGAGAACGCAAAAAAAGAACCATTCTAACCGTAAAGCCGTGGAAGAACATGCGAAAATCGTTTGCCGGTTTCGGCATCATATAAACGTATGTTGAGCTCTTACTTTAGGCGCTTTTATTCTTGAATTTTCGACATGCTTTTTTCCTCTCTCTCTCTCTCCCTTCGTTAATTCTTATATTTTTGCTTGTTCGTGTAAACGATTTGCTTTTTGCCATTCAAATGCTCGAGTTAACTTTGTTTCTGCGACAATGACGACGACGACAAACGCTTATGCGAATTTTATTTTTGTTCCTTCTACTTAACTAATGCATTTGCATTATGATTTCCTTTTTGTTTATGTGACACCGACTCTATATTATGAAGCAAATATGGACGAAAAAAATTGCAACACATTGCCTCATCATTGGCTTGACATGATCTAAATCGAAACGATTACCCGTTGAGAGGTAGACAGTTCACGATGTATAGAAATTTCCTGTAGCCAGTATTACATTCAATTCAATGGTTTTTTGTCATGAACGATCAAGTCGACAATTCAATTGCAATAAACACGCACAATGTATTCTCGCATTCAACGCAACCAATTTAACTCCCACATAAATCTTTCCATGATGCGCACATGTATACCATGCTATAGCGCTTGTATTCACAATAATGTCTGTGGATGATTCGAAAGAGCAATGGTTTCACAGTATTGATATTGAAATATTTAAATGAAATTGCGGTAAGCAAACCGTAAATTTTCGGAAATTTTGCCATTTCAATGAGGGCACACTGAGTAGTCTTTTGAGATTACATTTAGAAATGAATTAAAAATTTAGAACGTTGAACTTTCATTCGTGGCTTTGAGTCAAACCCTGTACAGCTTCACACATGGCTACAATCACTCAGGCATTTAAAATCAGTTGAAATCACAAAATTCACATTTTGCAAAGATTTTATTTATCCATAAAACCAATTCGCAATACAATTTTCAATTCGGTATCGTATAAACTGTTGAGTCGACGATATTATTATTTTTTATCTCCATTTCAAGCATACAGATTCCTCCAAAGAAAAAGGAGATTGTCAATAAAATAAAAGAAAAGTCGTTCGATTTTGCTGTTTATCTGTAAATCCAAAATGTTTTTCGCATGATTTTACATGAAATCGGCTCATTTGATATGTTTTCCAGAAAAAAGAAGATGTTCGGTATGTAAACATTTGAACAGACAGCATCTGTGTGAGAAACGTGACTCGATTGAAAAGAGACCATTTCTCTGCGCGTTCACTCTCCATCACATTTTCGAATGGGCTTCGGTATATTCAGAGAATGACCGGTTATATACCATGGAGTCTTTGCTCCATGATATTCATCATGCATAGATTATATTCATAGATGTGTTCCTTCCATCTACGTGTGAAACAATTGCAAAGGGGTTAGTTCTGCCTTTTCATATTGTATTCATTTTGGTTTGAATTATTTAAATCGAGTGTTTATCATGTTGGTTATGCGAATCTCTCCAAATAAAAAAAAAACAAAAAAAAAACGAATTTCGATATTGAAACTGATTATCGAATAAAATGACACATGCATGATAAAAGCATAAGAAAAGGGAAGACATTTCTGGAACAGAAGGCAGAAAAAGAATATGTTGAAATCGATGAATTTATAGGTTTTT